TGTGTGCGAGTTTTCATTTTGTTTTTTTTTTTTCGTCTACCTTTTCCACACACGTGTGTGTTGGGCTGCTTGCGAACGAAATGCTTCGGGATCGATAAAATTCTGGAATGCTTTATTGGTGCGAACAATTTTGATTCGTTCTTTTTAATAAACAATTTTCTGAGGTCATAGCTCGACCTTTTCGAATTCGACGAATTTGAATTTAACTACATTTATTTTCCAAAAAAAAGCACTTTTTTGTGGAATGGTCTATCTCTATTTGACTGTTCTGACGCATTTCACCGATGGATGAACTATTTTCATGGTCAAAACCTGTGTGCTGTTTGTTCGGTTTCCCTTGGTGGTTTGCGCAAAAAAGCAAGTGTTGCACATGCAATGCATTGTGTAGAATGCACAAATTCAAAAACCTCAACCCATCTCTTGATACTTTCTTTTCATTTCATTTCGTTTGCAGCACAGGCCGCGTATAAGATGTTCGTGTTGGGTTCGAGTTCGAGTAGACTTGATGTTGTTGTTCCTCTTCTTTGGCTATGTGTTCTTTTTTTCTCTCGTTATATGTTCTTGATTGTTGCATGTCTAGTTTGTTTGGTGCGGTTGTGATCCATTGAAATGAGACAAGCGGCGAAAATGAGCCTACTGCACCGGCCAACGTTACACATTTTTTGTGTGTATTTATCTGTCGATTCGTTATCATCGGTGGTTTGGTCGTGGTTCCGACCGTTTACCTGCCCGATCAATTATATACTGACTGTGGCAAGGTAGAGAATACTAGCTGCTGGTCGCAATTAACTCTTTGCAATTGTGAGAGAGAATGAAATATATTTCTTTTTTCATCGCATTGAAAATTCTCTATCTCTGGCCGTGTTTGTGTCGATTTCTGCCGTATTATATTAAATAACCGAACGGAAAAACTGTAATTTGCGGTTTTCAGCCCGCAAAATAATCCAAATAACAATTATTTATCGCATGAAACACGAATCGAATTAGGAATCAATGGTGTACTGTGAATGAGAAAGAAAGTTTTACTTGAATAAAAAAAAATGAACGCACACACACAGTCTGCGACTACTCGACTATTCGAGCTTTGTGATAGGAATCGCTCTCTCTCTCTCTCTATCTCTCTCTCTCTCTCGCGCGCGCATAAGGTTCTTATTGTTTGAAAACTCAATCCAGATATACATACAAAACGGCAAATCGAGTGCGAGAAGACAACGCATTTGCCCATCTGTCGCTTTGGCCCCGGTGATGGGAGTCTCGATAAAATTGGCTGCATGCGCCGTGCATGTGATGCGGCAAAAACAGAGCTACATTTTGTTGTGTTTCTGTTCTTTTCGTATATTATATCGTAGATAGTAAAATGTGCACTGGCTTCAAGTACCGTAAGTCATTCTCTCTCTCTCTCTCTCTCTCATGCTAGAAAGGTGAATTTACTGCAGAAAATCCAATAAAATTCGCAACACACTCCACTCACACATAACACGTCTCTGGAATTGACGTGTATTTAGATGCTGGTTGCGAAAAACCCGCTAGTACATTTGAACATAAATCATCCGGCACACCGATGTCTATATGAGTGTCACGTAAGCGTAAAACAACGACGGTAAAATGCTGTCGAGAATGTCTTGGAATGGGTTTTTTTTGTTGTCGTTGCTCGTGTGTTTTTTGGGTGCTGAAATTTCACTCACGGAAATAGAAACGGTTGTCTTGGCATTTCTTTTTCGGTGAAAGAAAACGAACAGGAAAGAATTGTTTGAGAGTTTGGTACTTCCTCTGGGTCGATTTCAACACAGAATATCATTAGATACACACATAGAACGCACACATTAACAACGGGCTTATAGGAGAGCATATCAATGGAATAGTGTTTTCCAACACAATCTCATGTTTTCACGTACACACCGCGCACCCGTCCGCTCGCTCGCTCTCTTGAGTGTGAGTCTTCCATTATAGCGACCGACAAAAAAGAGGTTCGTCGTTCCATCCAATCCAATCAAACGTTCACTCAATAGATGAGCGAAATGTGCGCCTGTGTTTGTGTGCAATGGAAAGAAAATGTGAAAAAAGAAGAGGCAGCAGCAGCAGCAGTAGAGGAAGAGGGCAACCAAAGAGACCAAATAAATCGTAGCATAGCTAATCTAGCCTATATACTGACTATGGTTTTTGGCACCCGTTTAACTCTCACACTCACACTCTTCATTTCATTCAATGAAACGAATAAATTGAATGAAACATTTGATTTCCGTGTGCTCAATTTTTTTCGGTTATGTGCTTAATTTCGGACTCATCTCAAAACATAACAATTGAGCAGTGGCTCGTTTTAAATGCATTTATTAGTAAATACATGTTTATTTGCAACTCTGGCGTTCGATTGTTTGTGGTAATAAATTTGGTTGTTGTCGTTTTTTTGCTGCTGCTGCTGCTGTTGCTGCTGCTGCTGCTCAATATGTGCAAATGATTCCTTATTTTATTTACTTTGTGTCGCGTTCGTCGATTACAAATTCTATTTATATATTTGTATGCATACATATAATAGCATCCATTCATCCTGTATGCTTGTTCGAATGTCATTCGAGTGTGTGTCGTTCGCATAAATTACGAATCGTGATAAAAAGAAATGGTGAGCAAACAATAGAGACTAGGGCAAAATAATACTAACGTCTGAATGAACCCCTTTTATTACCTTCAAATGCTCAACGTTTTTTAACGGCCTTTCGATCACTATTTGGTTTCTGTTGTTTTATTGAATTTTTTTTCTTCTTTTTTTGTGCAAAAGTTTTTTTTTTTGTTTCAAATTCACTTTGTATAAAAATCGGTTAAAAACAATCTCACTTTCAGATGAACACAATGATATTTCGTTTTGTGGCTAGTATAAAAATTTGACGTTTGTGAACACAAATTATTGCTTCATTTGCAACTGGTCTCTCTTTTTTTTATATTTTTGCTGAATAATTCACCACTCGATGGTTGTCTTTTCCAAAAAAAAAAGAAGCAATGAATGAACACAGTACGGGGAATTTCGATTTTTTAAGTATCCGGTGAGTAATATTGTTCAAAAATAAAATCATACACCAATCAAATATGCTTATTACGATGAGGAAACAATGTTTTTTTTTTCGAATTCCAAATGAATCACATGCTAAACTGTTCTGTTGAATATTTACAAGTTACTGTTAAACTATTTTCTCTGCACTTTTTTTTGTTGTAGTTCGTTGCTGACGCTTTGTTTTTTTTTTTGCTGCTGCTGTTACTGCTGCTGCGTTGTTTTTTTTACCGTTTATAATAGTTTTCTCTGTTTTGTATGCATGAGATTTTCATTTTAATTACTTTTATTGAGTGCGGCTTCAACTTTTCGCTCAACGCCAAACACACCGACACCCATGGAAAAACAATACGGCAAAAGCTTTCTAGTTTTGTGTTGGAAATTTCATCGAGTCAAATCATGCAAAGAAGCCTGACTGACTGTGAATGGGCCTGGTGAATTATTTATAGTCTTGTAGACAGTCATTGATAGAGAGTTTTTGTGTTTAATTCTCAATTGAAATTAAATATTCGCACACATTCACTAACTACACTCTGTGGAGTTTGTGTCTCTATTTCACTTGCTGAACTTTCAATGGCATAGAAAAATTGCTTTTAAAGTTGACACAGTTTTAATTGTCATGGGAATCTGAATAATGACGTCGAATTACTGGAAGTGTAATGATGAAGCGATGAATAAATAAATCACATGATAAAAAAGAACACACGCACACACACAGTTCGCACAACACCGAAATAAAATACGAATGAAAAATATCTGTATGATATTTGTTCGAAAAAGTTTCTTTCTGTCTGACACAACAGAGAGAGGCAGTGACTTTTTCAAAACAGTCTTTATTCTCGTTTAATGTCCTCGTCCAAATAGGTGTTTTATTTTATTTTCTGTCTCCTATCCAAAACAAATAACACTCATTTGTTGATAATTTTTTTTTTTCGTTGATTATGATTGTGGTCTTGTCTGTTATTTTATTTCTTTCTTTCTCTTCTTTAATCGTTTGTGTGTTGTTGATGCGCGACGCGCCAATGTCTACATTTTAATTCACTTTTCCACATTTGAATCTATTTGCAATTCATGGGTGTGCAATGCTATATATATATACACTCTATTATATCGACCCGTTTCAACAATAGATGAATTCGTGTGTGTGTTTTTGCTTTTCTCGTCTATTTTCTTTGTATACAAAAAAAAACTTTCAACGGAACCGAACGAAAACAACCCAAAAAATGAAACGGTACGTAATGGCTGATCGCTCAACGCCAACTGAACATTCATTATTCTCGTCGCATATGTGTTGCCGTGCGCCGAACGCGCTAGCTCTCTTGCCCCCGTTGAAAATGGACACATTTTACACATACACATATCACGTTGATTTACGAATGAAAACAGTCTTTTTTTCGTGAGCTCATCACATGCATGTGTAAGAGCGCTAGAGTGTGAGTGTGAGTGTGTGTGAATGTGTGTATTGTGAAGTGAGTGTCAAGCAACATCTTTGCTTGGCATATGAGACTCTATCGAACGGAGGGGAAGTTGAACGTGAGTAAAATAGGGGAATTTCTGTAAATGCTATCGTTTGAATCGGCAATCGAATGCCCTTTTATCCTTCGAATATTTGCACGTTATTTCTCATTTACTCAATTGGATTGGATGTACGCATGCTACACCGGCATGTGGATGAATTTATCACGAGATTTATTGTTTACGACCTACGAACTTCTCAAGTGCATACTCAAAACATGCTAATCTCACCGAAGATGAGATTTTCCAATCAAAAAAGAGATTTGGCCAAATTTTGTTTTCCTGTTCACTTGAAACATAATCTTTCATTCGTAAAATTGCCTCATTTATAACTTCGACTACGTCACGGATTTTATTAAAGTTGCCATCGACCTTGATTCTTTTTCGACCGTGCTTTCAGTGCAACAAGAAATAAAGCAGTTAGGGGATTTGCATATTTTCTTACCATCGATACGCGTTGAAATGATAGTATACCATGCCAAGTCCAAACATAAATGCTGTATCCCGCCAATGCTCCTTTTCCAAACCGAAGAACTTTTGATATGCCGACATAGCTGAAAATAGAATTTTAATCAGTTACTTATGTTCACGAACAATACATTTTCCACCAATTAAATGCAATAATATGGATTTGGAATTTATAAATAAATCAAAAATAAAAATATTTAAAAATAATTGCAAGACGTCCCTCGATTCAAATAGATAGCATTTTACCTTTTGCATAGTCTTCGAGCAGCAAGTGAAAATGTCCTAGTTTACAGTATGTCCGTGGATCGATGTTGATACCCTTCGAATATGGATCGTCTTTATCGGTGTTTGATTCCTCAATTTTAACCGGTTCATCGTTCGAATCACTTTGACTTTCCTTGTTGCTCTCTTTATTGCTGTCATTCCCGTCAACATTGCCATTTACATCGGCTTCTGTTTTCACCACTTGCTTATCCGGTTGTGCATCACTATTTTCATCAGTTTTACTTGTGTTTTCATCGGTATTAGTTTCAGCCAATGGATCGGTTTCGATGCTAGTCACCTCATCTTCTGGCTCTTGTTTGATGGTTGGAACCAGATCTGTGGCGTCAACCATTTCCACATCATTTGTGGAACAATTTGTCTTTGGTGATGCATTTGGTTCGACTTTCGGTGTTTTAGCACCGTCATTACGGTCGGTTGATTCATTTGTGTCCATTTGCTCCATATTTGATTCGTTCTTATCATTGGAATTGGATTTTGCGGTGTTTGCCGTGATTGTACACCGTTTTTCACGCTCCTGTTGACAGTAGGCTTGAATCAGCATACGTTCCAAGTATTTGATTGCCTAAAAAATACCGAAAAATTTTACCATTTCATTTTTTTTATTGGAAAAATGCTGAAATTACCTTGACAACAACCGCCTTCTTTTTACGATGTTCCAAATTGTTGAGCCGGAGAAAACCAAATTGGCGGCTGCAAAAAAAGGCCAAAACAAACAGTTTATCAGACAAACTCAAGCGTGGGAATTGTTTGAGAAATCTTAAATTGAATGCTACCGACCTGTCAAGCTCCGATAAGATTTGAAGTTCGGCTGGCGATAAATTGACTTCATCGCTATCGGGCAGCATCTTCATTTAGACTCTGCCTTTTAAACGTTTTTATTCAAACAATAAAAAAAAAATAAACCAATCAATTGCAATTTTATTCATAGATTCAACACACAAGAGACATGAATCCAAACACCTCGAACAGAACGAAAAATTTTTTTTTGTGTTTTTGCTAAATCGTTTCTCAGCCCACACATACACAAAATTATGGTTCTGGCGGCCACTGTCAAACACAACACTTGCAACAATTCGATTTGTCAAACAATTGAAACAATAGAAACGAATTAGACGTATTTAATAAGCGAATCACGAAATATAATTTCGGATACTTGTTGGACATTTATAACAAAAAAAAAAGTATTACACGCGGGCAGCCATTTTTTGTTAATGTTATTTATTCGAAGTTTTGAAAGTCAAATCAGTCTCATTCGGTGTATGTATTTGTGTGTGATGTTTCGTAGACGTCTGAAGTTTCAATAGCACTACGCGATTTTTATTCGATTCGTTGTGTGGCAGCACTGACACACCGGCTGGTTTTACGAAACATTTGTCGTGCTCTTTTGACAGTTGCCAATGTGACAGCGAGCCTCACACAGATAAACGACAGAAGAAAAACAAACTACGAGACTGTGTGTTTTGTATTATTTACATCGCGCGAATAACGCACACCAACACAATCGACACACAGAATCAGAACGATGTTTACCATTTTATGAACATCGATGCACGCGCACAGTTCACACAACACATCGTTCTGAAGTTGGATTTCCAACAATGAACGAAAATGAACAGCGGAAAAGAATTGGCTATTTGGCAATTACGATTTGCCAGGTTAGAAAGAAAATTGAGGGAAATGGAATCTATTTCGATGTTGTCAATTTATTTTGATTTTGATTGAAAATTTTTGAATCAAAAATTGACATGAAAGTTGAATTGGAATGAAAACTAGAAATTTATGAACTTCCTCCTGAATTATTGGAAAAAAATCCGTCTAATCATTGAAAGTGGATTTAATTTTGCAAAAACTAGGCTTTTTCTTTGGAAAATATGAATTGAAATGGTTTTTCACTCCATTTCACGGTCTTTTTTACAAATATTCAATTCCAAAATACAATGTAAACAAACGACCGTTTGGGCAAGTGAGCAATGAAATTGTTTCTTTGGCTAATATTATGATGGTTTTACGCAAAATTTGATACGAAAATTGAAGAAAAATATTCCAAAGTCATTCAAAGCCGCAAAGCATCCATTGATTTCACCAAAAAATTCCCATTTTATTCCATAGACAAAGATTTGACGAAATGAATTTGAAAAATTGCTCGGTTTTTGAATTGATGTCATGTGTATATGTGCCCAAAGCATTGATTCCGTAGAATATTATACCACGCACCACTCATACAAATGCGAAAAGACACACAGAGAGCAGTGTACGTACCGAATTGAGTCGCCACATACATTTGACAGTTAGCCAAAATACATTTGAAGTTTGTTCATCTGTACCTTTTTATCGTCTTCTATTGCTTAATGCATATAGTACACAAGAAGAAGAGAAAAAAAAATAAATATATATAGTGATTTTCGTGTATACCTTTTTGTTCGTCTACACGAATTCATCGCCCAAATTAAAACCGAATCAAAAAGAAAAATTCACATTTTGTGTGTTTTATTCCGTCAATTTTTGCGAACCAGTTTCGAAAATAACGTGAATACCATTTGTTCTGATTGAATTGTAAAATTTCATCTTTGTGAACAAGGAGGAGAGCAACAAAGTAGGCATCGTCACAACGAATTTCTGCGTGTGTTAAACTTGTTGAACCGAAAGAGTATTGTTTTTGTGACACCAAAAAATATTTCGCGAATTTGCTTTGAATATTGTTCCATTTGTTGGAATTCATTTGAAATTATCACATATCTTCTCCATTGCACTGATGTCTATCGCTGAGTATTGCGACGAAATTTTATTGTGATCGACGCTGGACGGCAAACGTTTCGTGCAAAATGAATGACATGAGTAAGTAAATCACACGCTCAACCTAAATTCAGATGCAAGTGGGTTTTGAAATGATAGTCATTGTGTGTTTTGTTTGCTTGTTGTTTTTTTTGCAGCCGAACACAAGAGCATGGATTTTGATCCAACGAACACTTTGAAGCGTTGCAACAGTACACCAATCATCAATCTACCTCCCACAAACAAAGCCACTGTATCATCGACTGGCACACTCACCATCAACACCATGCATTCATCGTTAGCGAATAGCCCGAATATTACATCGACCACGTCTCGTTCGAGGTATTTACGGGATTTTATCGAGGATTTCAGGTTATTTGACATTCATTGAGACTAACCTATCTTTTTTTTCGCTCATCTTCCACACAGAGATGCGTCACCAACACCAACGTACAATATATTCGCACCACGAGCACGACGATATTCGACGGGATTCAGCCCATTGGCCACAAATCCAGGTCCATTGCCTCGATTGACACCACGCGTTTCACAAATACGACAGGAAGAATGTGCCGATGTTAACAGACGAGAAGTCAATCACGAGCGCGAAGTTCACACCGCTTTGCAAATCAGTCAAAGCTGGGAAGGTATATTTGACAGATGCGATTATTATTGTGAATGAAAATCAATTGTTGATATTATTTTTTGACAGTAACTTTTTAACAATTGAATATTTTATTTGGAATTAATTTAATTTTACGTTTTTGTCTTTAGATTTGACTTTGGATGCAGAGCACTGGTCATTTAAAAGTGATACTAGCTCTGATTTAACAAATCCGCTACATGTGACCCTACCAACGGGCATCATTAGCTGTTCTAGTCCTTCTCCAACAAGGTTTGACATTGGCTCTTACTCTATTTACTGATTTACTTCCATTTTTCGTTGAATTTTTACTTCATTGAATTTTCCTGTTTAACTTGTCCACCGAAAATCCTTAAAGGTTGAGTGAAGTATGTGTAAAAATTAAATTCTGCAAACTGAAAAGAAAATCGAAGTTCAAACTTGATAATTTTATGGATAAATTTAATCCTTTTTCATGTTTTTTCGTTGACCAACAAGTAATTGAATCTATTTATCTATAAAACAAATCATAGTAGTCGAGCTGGCTTGCGACTGCCCCCATATGTATTGTCTCCATCGCCAACGCGCCGCACCTTCCAAACAAGACGTTCAATGTCTCCGATTGCGATGCGACCAAGCTCATTAGGTCCAGTCAAACGCAAATTTGAACTCGATGACAACTACTCAAATAGCTATTCGCCACCTCCATTCAAGAAGATCTTCACTGAAAGGTACCACACACACATCCTCATTAGAACAAGGCTTATTTTCTTCAAAATTGGAGCAAATTATCAAATTTTGTCAACTATATCAATATCACTAAAATTTCTTTTGTTTAATTTCTCAAATGTAGCAGTTCACGCGGCCATTCACCATGTCGTTCGCCATTGTTGTGCCCCAGCCCAGATTCAACCGAAGGCCGAACAACGCCAAAATTTTATATATCCAAACTGTGCACAGCGAATACAAATTCATCATCAAGTCAATCGTCGTCATTATCGGCTGCACCGTCGCCAAACTCATCCAGCGCCATGGAAATCCCAATGGACATACCGAATCTGTGTGCCAAAGCGACGGCCCATTCAGACTTGAACAGTGATCTCGATTGTAGTGATGTTGATTTTGATAGCGACAGTCAAAACAAGCCCACAACACAAGATGTTGACGAAAAATCTGCTACACAAAAACGTGATGAGGCTTGTGAAAAGCTGAAAAAATTGTTTTTCGCACGTGTTAGCACAGACAGCACGGAAACCGATTGCAGTAGCATCACCGACTTTAAGCCACAAACAACGGCCAGCGAATCGAATTCGCATGTGACCGACAATAAATCCGAAGCGTCAATGGAATGTGATTCATCGAAAAAAACGGACGGTTTTTGTATCGTACAAAATCTCGTCTCATCGACTAACGATTTTGAGGTGATCAACGAGAAGCATAATACGTTCAACAACGATGATGACGTCGACCATCACAAATCGATTGAATTGATCGCAAAATGTGTGCCAAACAATGACTGTATCTCAGTTTCAGTAGCAGACGTTGTTGACACAAACATTACATTAGAAACGGATTCGACTGAAAACTCGACTTAGATGTGTGCGTGTGTGATTTCTTTTTTTTGTTATTGATTTTAAACTTCAAACGCATTACTTTTAGAATATTACAGGCAGAGAAGAAAATTTATGTTTTAGCGTATTAATGACGTTTTTTTCAAAAGATGGAACTTAGCACACGCGAGACATTATAATCTGTTTGTCGCATCGTTTATGAGATAAATAATTTAGGTAAATAGATAAATAAAAAGTAAACTGGAGTAAAGCATCTCATCATCGATATTGAAGCCAGCACATACCTTGTTCGGGTGATGCTGCGCTATTTGCATATGGTCGAAATAATACAGAGCAAGAGAAAGAGATAAGCAAATGGCTTGAATGAGAACCAATTCAATAGAAATATATACATATTTATTGTAGCACCTTACCTTATTATTCAATAAAGAAGAATAAATAATCGAAGCTCAATACAATCATTTCCATTGTGTTTTTCTGTGTGTGTCTAAAATGACAAACAATCCTTCTTCATTATTTCATTCCATTTGCCGACAGTGAAAAATGAAACGAAATAAATTGCGCATACAGCGGAAGAATTGCGTTTACATTTACGATGTTCATCTTATAAATAAATTGCATCAAAACTATATCATGTGATGAGCGTTTTGTGTGTGACGTAGAATTAATTCAAACCAGACGATTTCGGAATAAAAAAAAATAAACAGAAAGCGATAATGCTTATCTTTGCATCGCAGATATTTTGATTCGTATCGGATCAAGGTCATCTGTTCAATGAACTTGAACATGAACGAATTTTTTCCAGCTGAAACCGAAATTTACTTCTGCTTTCACTTTCTTCTAGTATTTTTGTTTTTTTCATGATTTAAGCGACAAATGTCATCAAAATGTACCTTACTATCTAACCAAGATTTCTTAAAAATTTCTCACTAAATTGATCAATGATTTCTGTGGACAGAAAAAAAGTTTCCCGAGTATGCTGGTACTATTATTATTACTCACAATAACCAATCGATTGAAAATCAATGGTAAAAACCCTGACCCAGCCTTAGCATTTGCAATTAAGCTGCATTACTTAAATCCAGCTCACTGTGAAGATGCATGTTTCTATTTTTAGCTTCCGCATGATATCATTGCTGCCAAACGCAGCTTGTGGTTATGATCATCTTATTAAATGGTGGATTTTTCCAAATTTTGTTTCCTACATCTACAGTAGAGCTACAGTTCAATGGATACAAAGACTTGAAATATCAATTGCTTAGAACTGAAAAAATTAAAAACGTTTTAAAGATACATATTTCCATTAGTTCACTTAATTCGTTATTTTTCCACCATAAGATGATTTTGCGCGGTAACAATCAAGTATGAATTGCAATCGCTGATGTATTGATAGGTCAAATAAGTGCATTTATAGCAGCCAATATCACTATATTGATTAAAAATAATCACAAATTAAAAGGGTATCAATCACTAAATTAATAACATTCAAGTGTGCGATGCAAGCCGTTCGCACTGTGTATGTTCGGTTCGATGCATCACAGAAGAATATTCCAACTATAAAAGATCAAAATATCGATTCGGTTTTTAGTTATAGTCAGTACTTCGTCGAAACCAGCACAACGCACACCATGTTGTTGAATCAGTGCAAAAACCTCTTATCAATATCCTTATTGTTGGTCAGTGTCGTTGCTTCAGTGAAAGCGGGTGAATTCGATGCGAAAAAACATGTGTCTTACGAAATGTACTGTCGATTTTCGAATGAAACTACAACAACGACATTACATCAAATCGACACGAGTATTTTGCGAAACGAAAATTTGGTGGTTGAAGGTCAAGGTGATAATAGAGTGCTGACTAGTATTACAAATTGCCGACTGAACTGGAATCCAAATCGACCGACTCGAATATTTATCCATGGATACTACAGTGATCGTGATACATTGAAGAAATACGCCAAAGCATACTTGGAACGAGACGATTACAATTTCATTGCTATCAATTGGCTGCACGGGGCACAAACTATCAACTATGTCAAAGCACGGTATAGAATTTTAGAAGTTGGCAAAGCCGTAGCACGATTCATTGAATACCTGGTCACAATCGGATTGAATTTGGACGATCTCACATGCGTCGGGCATTCGCTGGGTAAATCATTTAAAAAGTCCACAGCACAATTGAATCGTAGAGCACAATCATTGTCATAACACCTTTTCTCAAGAATCCAAACCGGCTGCAATTTTCGTGGCATGGCCCAATATGTTTTGTGTTCTATTTTCCTCTAGGTGCTCACACTTGCGGAATTGTTGGCAAGAATCTGAAATCCGGGAAATTGGCAATCATTTTTGCACTTGATCCGGCGTTGCCACTGTTTCATTTGAAAGATCAAACCTGCAGGCTGCATTATGATGGTAAGTTTCTCACTTTTTCTACGTTATAATGGCTATTTTTCATTCCGCCACATTTTTCGCAAGAATTAAAATTAAAAAAAAAAAGATATTTGAAATGGAATCGACGAAAAATCATTAAAAATTTTGAACTTTTTTCAAATTCTTACTACAGACGCTAAATACGTTCAAGTGATTCACACGAGTGGAGGTTATTTGGGTGTTAAACATCCCATCGGCCATGCAGGTAATGCATATCCAAATGATACTATAGATTTAGAACAATCCGTTTATTTTGGCGTTAATTCCAATATTGTTTTGCAGATTTTTACCCAAATTTTGGATGTGTTCAACCTTTGTGCCGCAGTTTCATTCCATGTAAGATCAGTTCTGACTCAAAACTTTAAGGTTTAATATGAAATAATTTCCATTTTCTTTAGTTGCTGGTGAGATTTGTTCGCACTCCCGTGTTCACGATTTATTCATTGAGAGTTTATCACGCGCAACACGATTTTGGGCAACGAAATGCACATCCTATGGCGAAATATATGAAGAACGATGCTCACGACATGGAGAACGAGCACTGATGGGCGGTGACATTGAGAATGAAGAGCGTCCTTTTGGCTTGTATTACTTGCAAACCAATGGAAAATCACCGTTTTCAACGTTTCGCCTGCAGGAAGATATCGTGTTCCCATGAATAGAACAAGCAGTTGTTTCGAATCAAGCACAAACTACTATTGTTATAAATAGATTTCGTTGTGGATTCGATAGACTCGCAGAATTTCTAGAATGATGCAAAATACGAAAACAAACAAACCGATGATGGTTTGTTGCACTCAATGAATTTATTGAATTTGTAAATCAATTGACGCTAAATTAGTTTTGTGTATTTCAATGATAACAATTTTATTTCCACACACTCAATAGATTGATGTATATTATTTGAATGTTTAATTGTCAAATGGAAATATAAGCAGATCGCATAGAATAAGATACTAACGACGTGCATAGACTAAGGGAGACTGTGTGTATTTAATATTTGCCAGTTGACTTTTCAAAATGTTCTAGACAAAGTGTCATTAGGAGTGGATTAGTTGAGAGGTCAAAATAGCAACATAAGAAAACAATTAACAACTCATTACTCAAAACCTATTTAGAACTTCAGCGTTGAACCTGTAAATTTACCTTAAAACGCCTCAACGCTAAATTGAAATGTTCGATTCAAATATGTGAATATTTACAAAAATGTTTTTGGATATACTTTAGAAAATATGTTTTTCAATGCCAGTAAATATTCGAATAAATAATTTTTCTCACTTAAATTGATTGATTATATCAACTTCAACTGAAAGAAACTTAATTTTATCATAGACAGTTTTTTCTCTCATTTTTACATGCTCTTGCCATTTGAAAATCCCGCAAAATAAATGAATGTGAGCACACTATGCATTTCATTTCAGCATTCTTCTCACAATCGAGGAAACTCCATTTGAACGATTATTCTATTGTTTTGTCTTCAGCTCAGGCACCGGCTCGAATTCCGGTTCTTAGTCGGTTTCGTCCCACAATTTTACCATTGAATATTCTTTATCATCTGAAAAGTTGTGTCGAATGCACCTTTTTTTTCGTTCATATTGTTTTGAATTGTCTGTCCAATTTTTAACTTTATTCAATTATTTAAATCAACTAATTTGTATTCGAAAAATGGTTCATTCACCCAAAATTATATCAACAAAAATTGCGATCTTTTTGTTCGTGTGTACCCTTTGTTGGTTTGGAATCACTGATCGCATCATTACAGGAGGCAACTCTAACAGTGATGGTTCAAATACCTGCCTTGCAAAAGGCATCAACTATTTAAAAAAGGTAGGTTTAGTTTTGGAGAGAAATTGGTACTTGAATTACTTAAACGCTCATAAAAGGTATGCATCTAATTTAAAGTTTGTGTTTTTCCACAGTCTTCTGTCATTACAATAAAGTCGTTTATGTCACCAGGGAACACGAGTCAAGCAATTGAAATGAACCAAGCATCGTCCGAAAAGAAGAAAAATACTAACAAGAATACTGGTGGCTTTTTTTCAGGACTACTTCTGAAAATAAATCGATTTATAAAATGTCTTGTCATTTTGAAATTTATCCAATTATTGTTTTTATTGAGGCAAGCGAACAAGTTTAAAAAAATAGAAAAAGAAATTAACGAGATACTCAACGAAGTTATTATCGTTTGAGGCGGAATTTCCATTTTGTACCATTTTTTGTTACGATTTTTCCCGCAAAAAAAAAAATCATGTATTCATTCATTTTAACACCGCCAAGTACTGGTTGGAAATCATGTTTTCATCAATCCATAAAATCGTTGAATTTGAATCTGCAAAAAACTGAGTTAATGAAAAGGAAATGGACAAATATATTAATGGCTAGAATTGTACATAATCGATGACAAATAATCAGAAATAAAAACTTGAAAAAGACATGATGAAAAGTGCTGTGTTTTGTTTAAGCGTTACCTCTATGAATTTTTGCGATGAATGTTCACATGATCCACAGATCGTTTAACAAAAAACATCCTTCGGCCTTGTGCTACTTGCAAATTAATGGAAAGTTGCCGTTTTCCACGTTTCGCCCGCTAGATGATATCGTGTTCCTGTGAAAGGAACAATTAATTCACCCGAATCAAGTACAAATTGCTATTGTTATAAAAAGATTTCGATGTGGATTTGATTGACTCGGAAAATTTCTAGAATGATGCAAAAATCGAAAGCAAACAAACCGATGATGGTTTGTTGCACCCAATCAATTTATTGAACTTACAAAACATCTCAATTGATGCTAAATTGGTTATATGTGTATACAATTTCAATGATATATACCTAATATATTATTGTGTACTATTTAAATCATACAAATACATAGTTGCCAAATGAATAGAATAAGATACTTACGACGTGCATAAAATGAAGGTTTCACTGTTTTATCTGTATTCTCAATAAAGTGATACTATATTACGTAGTACATCCATTTAAATTCAATTTATTAAGATTTTTCGCTTAGTTTCGGTTCATTCAGTCTGGTTTACATCGAAACTTCTTAGTTGATTCGCAATTGTAAAGCGATACAAACTTAGTTGCCAACAGTTGAGCAACTATTTGTCGAAAAGAAAGAGTGTATTAATTTTCGTTGGTTTGGTGCTAACTTTGATGGGCTGTGTATAACTGTATGTAAGTCACAAATATTCATACTGGAAGCGTAAGAATATTTGCTATTTAAAGCCAGTGTTTTCTGTTGACAATTTTGTAAAGAATATTCTGCAAAAATTATCTATTACGATATTTTTAATGGTTTCTTCGCTGCATTACGGCCGTCTTTGCTGATTCGCGATCTTAAGATCATTCGCAATATTCATATATATATAATCAAGGTATTTTCTTCGTTTTACCACCGTTGCTTATATTCAAATGAAAAAGTAGTTCCATCGACAGGTAATCTGCTGTTTTTTTTTCAAAAAGAAAATATCATTTTCAACAGATTCAGCCACTAACAACGCCAATTAGCTGCCATACAACGTAGGGGAACATTGGCTAAGATGGACAGTTGGCTAAGACGGACACCAAGTCAAATTTTTGACAGATGACGTTCAAATGTCAAATTGATCAGCGCCATGCTAATGATTCATAATGAACTAGTTTTTGCTGTGGTTCCGAAGAGAAAAGACGTGCTCTGTGCTTGTGAAAAAATTTTCGAGTGAAATTTTTTGTAAGAAAATTTTTCCTTAGCATTTTTGCTAAGATCACAAAGTGAATTTTTTTTCGGCAATTTTGGAAGGTAATATATTGAATGTTTCGTTTTTTAGCCTAATTTCATCGTACAACATGCATTTTGATGTTATTTCATCATCGAAAATTTTTGTGTCGTCATGCAAAAAATGGCGTCTCTTGGCTAAGATGGACACCCATACATTGCGAACTGAATTTTGGCTATAAAATTTTTATGTTTGCATATTTTTTTAATCTGACAATAGGGTTCGAAAGAGGATGGAAAATGTAAACTTTTTGCCGAAGAGAGTTTTTCTGTTGTAGTGCAAAAAAAAATTTTATCGCAAATTTGCCGACCATATGAAAATTGACAAAAAAAAATCATTGGCTAAGATGGACACCCATACTTGCGAACATTGCATGTAAAAATTGGATAAATTCGTTAAATTCAACGACCAATCACCTTTATTTCTTGTATTAAAGGCATAAAAATCAATAAAAATTGATTGAACATTAAAAATGAGGTGTTGTTTCCATTTTTCAGTTCATTTATTTCACCATTTGTATGGGTGTCCATCTTAGCCAATGAATTTTTTTTTGTCAATTTTTATATGGTCGGCAAATTTGCGATAAAAAATTTTTTGCACTACAACAGAAAAACTCTCTTCGGCAAAAAGTTTACATTTTCCATCCTCTTTCGAACCCTATTGTCAGATTAAAAAAATATGCAAACATAAAAATTTTATAGCCAAAATTCAAAGTGGTGTCCATCTTAGCCAATGTTCCCCTATTCTTACAAATTCTTTCCAAATTTCTTTCAACAGTGAAATTCGCAGCACCAAGACATTCACAGAAAGACCGTACCTACGATTCGGATTCAGGCCAAGGAATTTCAATTGCATCGGTAATATTAAGCCCTTTCAGTTGATTCTCATCACTTTACGTTATCATTGTTTTATGTCTCTTAGGTTTGAGATTGGCGAAAATACAAACGAAGATTGGATTGGTGTTAATGCTGCAACGATTTCATTTTGAACTGGCCGCTGAACACATTGGCAAAGAATTGAAATACTCACTGGCTTCCGTTATTCCAGTACCCATCTCTGGAATTCCGCTGAAAGTTAGCCATCGATCGAAAGGTGGAATAAAATTGTGCATTTTCTATACAGATACATTTTTATTAAACATTCATTATTGTTTTATCCAAATGGTGTTTACACTAAATTGAGCTCTTAACTAAATTCAAATAAATCGCTGGGTTGAACATTGAAAATGTGTTGAATATTTTTGTTTTAGTTTACATTCAAGCTACAATATTCTATACAAACGCAGTCGAAGTTCAAGCTTCAACCCTTTCGGTCTCATTGATAACATTTTGCACTGATTAGATGCGTTGCACTTCGACTGCAATCTCGTATTCGACATTCGATTCAAAGCAAAACATGTTACAATTTTCGGGCTATTTTCTGTCCAACTTTTCGTTTTGATTTCAATTGATGACTGTATGGTAACCATTTGAAATGATTAAATATAAATATATATAAATATGATTTCCATTCAAAATGTTTTAGATTCTAAATTTTTTGTTCAAGTGTTACGACCTCAAAAAGCTTTTCATTACATTTTCTTTGAGCTTCTCAACGAACCTTCCCAATGTTTTCTCTTCGATTTTTATCATTCAAAATAATGAGAAAAAAAATAACAAAGGAAGAATATTTAGGTGCATCTTTATCAGGCAATCATGGAAAATCACGGTGAAATCCATTTTACCTTTTATATAAAAAAACATTTCAAGATTATTCAAAGAATAAAGCATTTGTAGATATAGCGATAATAAAATAAAGTAAGCAATGAAGACCCACACCAACATGTTTTTCCTTCAAGTTGTTTGCAATTATTCATTAAGGTGAATAAGAATATTTCGAGATAAAATGAATCATCATCAAAGTATAATATAGCATATTTGAAGAAAAACTGAAACATGAAATCATCATGCAAAAAATCTTTGGACATCGTTTATGAAAATCTGCGGTTTTCAAGAAAAAATTATACAATTTTTTGCAAAAAAAAAACTTTCAGATGGTAACTTTCTACCTAATTAAAGGCAAAATGAATAAATGAATCAATCAATAAGTAATTACAATTATAGTATAGTTTATTGGATGTACAGTTCAACGGGTTTGACAACGATGATGGCCTATTAAAACAAATTCAACTAAGTACCTATCCCCCGATATGTCGTAGCATTTCAGTTAATGATTATGATTGTAAGGATATTATAGCTGCTATCGATTTAAACGAAACGCAAACCGGTATGTATGTTATCATTGTATTATTGTCTTGTAAATCGATATTTTTGTTTTAATATCCATTTTGTTTTCGTTTGAATTTTAAGACGTAAAGGAAGGTGGGGATTCGGGGGAAGGTCTAACCATTGAAGATCAAAATCAAACTCGGCTCCTTGGAATACTAAGCCACACCGTAAAAACAGAACCGAACTTAGAAATCCCGGCTTATTTTAGTGCCATTCCATATTACCATCAATGGATCCAGGATACAATCAAGAACAATTCAGATTATGCTTATGGACAGCCATGACACACAGGTTATAAATTATAGACCTCCTATTCCCGCTTTCTAAGCGGGAATTTCCCGATTTTCGTCGTCATTCCCGCCGTCCCGATTATTGGTCAAAATTCTCCCGATTTGACTTTTTTTAGAAAATTTTTTTCATAATAATATGAATAAAACCTATTATTTAATTCAAGAATTTGCATATAATTAGGCCTCCCAGATCAATTTCAGCTCAAGTCGGGAATTTTGTAGCTCCAAAGCGGGAAAAATGAACCGAAATCGGGAATTTTCCAAATTCAATGAATTTACATAAATTTGGCCGCTAAAGCGAAAAATTCCCGAACAAATTGGGAGAAAATGATATCTGTAACCCAAAAACATTTATTTTACGTCACAACAAAAAAATAACATTATGTAATTTTCGCATTTTCAACTTGAAAATTGACCAAAAAGACATACTCTGAAAATTAACTCGTTCTCCCAGAGTACTTTGTAGTATCTGGGCCATGTTATATGTCGTTTAAAAATTCTTGTGTGGTCTTTTTGCATGTGTACCTTCAATTTGTGTTTGTCTCGACGATATTCTTTACACAAATGGCATTGAAACCGACGGTGGCCACAGCTATCTTCATGAACCCCTTTTTCCTCTACGGTTGCGTATCTTCCGAAGCACTTGGAGCATCCGAATGGGAATCGGTCGCTATGTTTTGATAACAAATGCCGATTTAGTTTAATCTGTTCGATGAATTCTTTTCGGCAAATTCCACATTCGATCGATTTTTTTGCTCCGTGTTTCGATTGCATGTGCAGCTTCAAACAATGCTTTTGAACAGTTTTGTAATGGCACACGGTACATTCGAAACGGAGAGGATCGCATAGTCTTTCATGATCGATCTTGACTGATTCTTGCTTAAATCCTTGATAACATTACAGTAATAAACGAGAGTGCTTGAGCAATTGATTAAACATATTTTAACCATATATTTTTCTATAAGAAAATATTTATGTATTAGAAAAATAAAACAGGAAACAAATACAGGAATTGTAATCAGAGTAGTAAAAGTGCTGATGCTTGCAATGTTGCTGTTCCTTATTTGTAATGGATTTTTGTGTAAAAAAAACACAAAAATGAAATAAGAAGTGTAAAACTACAACATTAAATGCGTTGCATTCAATGTTCAGAGAATAAGGATATATCGCAGCCTTCCTGGCCATAAATGGAGCATAATTGGAATATATCCACATGTCATGTGAAGCTGAAAATCCCGTTGAACGAATTAGTCGTGATTGCTGCTGATGGACAGCAACATTGTCCGAAACGCATTCAGGTTAGCATTAAATTTATTTCAATAATTTAAACCGACTCCAGTAGAGTCAATAAGGTGAAAAATTGACATTCATTGGAATGTATTTAAGTGAATATATCCACACTTTAGGATTAAACACAATATTTTTACTTTATTGTGGAACAACCAATTGATGATAATTAAACGCAATAAATTGTTACAATATTGGGATTTGAAATGCACCTTCATCAACCGTAACTCTAAGCCTAATAGTAGCTTAGAGCTCGAATGATACTTCATCTAAGAAAGTATAAATAGCTGTAAAGCAAGTTATCTAAAAATGTAGTTACAATGGAAAGAAAAGAGCACCTCGTTAAAATGCAAAGCTGAATTTAGAAAAGTTTAGTTATTGGTGCATTTTTCAGTTAAATATACAAAAAACAATCACAATGATATATCAAATAATTCAGTTGTTGAAATGGTTTCCTTAGGAATATAACAGTTTATGCTCAGGGGAATTCGTATTTATCTGCATGTTTTTTTGTCTTTATAAATGTTTGAATTTGGCTTCAAAAGGAAGCTAATAGCGGCCAGCGATTATCTCACAAAGCGTTCTGATTAAATTCGGATTACACTAGAACTATTATCTAGTTAATTATGTTCCATAAAACATGATTTTAAAAACCAGCGTATTATAAACGAATCGAGCTACACTTCACCAAGAATTAAATTTTCACTTAGAGTAAAGAATACCAAAAAAAAGAAATGGTATTATGCGATGATGAAGAGGGCTACCAATATGGGCTATCGTACAAATAACGCAATCGTGAATTTGGCTACAAAATAAAGTTAACAGCAGCTAACGATTAGGTCGCAAAGCGTTCGGTTTGAATTCAAATCAAACAAGAACTCGCAGTTGCTGTCGTTCTCATATTTAAATACCGGTCAATTGCAATGCCAATGAAATGCACCATTGAATATGGCACCATAACAAAATAAAGTCGACAGTCTCAAATCCGACGCTGGCTCATGAGCCGAAGAACTATTAGCTAGTTACTTGAGGTCATGGCTAAAAATCGTATTGATAAGGATTAATTGGAAATTTCAAGAATTTCACATTTCTACCGAAAGTTGGATGTTGAATGGTCCAACAATGGAAAACACATTTTTGTAAAATTGCACGTTTCTAGGGCTATTTTTTAGACAACCGTTGAATATATGCATTGTAATTGAATAACGTTTTAGATGAGTTCAGAGCAAATACACAAAGATTTGTATAATATAAGATTTATGGTTCTCTCCATCGAAGGACAAGAGTAATATGAAAAATATCAATATCACTGCGGTACTCAACATTTTGATGTCATTTCCTATCGTATACGTATCGAAGGGAATGAATGAATAAAGATAAGATGTGTAATTAGAGCAAAGATGTAAAACCAATGCAACGTTGGATCATATTCTTGGAATTTGATGTGATAAACCAAGAGTTTAATTATCCAGATTCACATAGAACATAATTTAGAAATATGGTAAATTATGAATAATCATAATATACAAAGAAGATTCATTTGGCATTAAGCGAATATTAAGCAAGTAGTGATGAAAAAAAAAACAATATATTGAACTTAGAAGTTGTTAAAAGATTAAAAAAAGATCCGCGTAAAAAAACAATAAAATCATTGGGAAGGTTTTGATCGAGAGCTCTCCTTTTCACGTCTAACTATATCCCTAACCTAATCATACAAAGCTTTTTGAGGCAATAAAACACTCACCATCTATTAACCGTCTGCCAATGCCGGTGTAACCCATCCGTATTTTTCATGCGTCTTTACTAATGACCGGAACGCCTCTTCTGCGGTTTGCTTGCTAAATTCTTTGCTGGATTTTTTCGTTCGTGCGATTCGTGCTCGTCCCTTCGATAAACTAGCGGTGAACTGCATAATAACTGTGCATATGTTTTAGTTATGGTTGTCGTTTGGAAGAACGTAAAATTCAATTGTACACATTAAAATCATGTTTGGTTTTGAAATCGAAAAATTGTCTGAGTATTTATGTATGAAGTTTTTTTCTACCTGCTTCAACGGTATATGCGCTAGCCCATCCACGCGGTGTTAATAATTCCATGCATATAGCACCACCATTCATCACAAATCCTTTTTCGATTTTCGGCTCAACAACGCGCATAAACGGCGGTAAAAATGGGAAACTGTCCGGAAATATTAAATGCAACAAGATACAAGAGATGTTCTGCTCTTGCATATCGCACGCCAATTCGGATTCTGGGTCAATGTCGTGCACACGAACGTACCATTCGAACAAATTGTCATTGACTAGCTCTACCTAAAATTCAAAGAAGGAAAAAATCGATTAGAAACATTGAAATCAATGATGATACGTCATTAAATAGAAACAAGTTGAAATAAAGTGAAAAAAAATTGAAAAAGAAAACGAATAAACACAAGCAAAAGAAAAAGATTTGAAAAAGTGTTGCGCACCGAAAATGAATTCTTTTGCAAATGTGATGAGCGTTGAATTTCCTTAAGCTCTTTCATAAGTCGTTTTGCTCGGATCGTTTTGTCGTTGGCTTTACTTGGGTATTTTTGACTTGTGCTGGGTGATATGCCGCTAAAATATTCAAATCAAATTTCAATTAATGACATTTGACGGGATATTTGTTATAAACGAATTTTGCATAACATCTTAGCTTTAATTAGCAATCAGTAATTACCGTCTTGATTTCCTTGTCGGGCTCTTAGAAGCATTATTACTGTTTGCGGGCGCAATGTTCGCCTCCCGTCGATTCGCTGATGTTTTGTGGAAAAGTTTTCGCAATGCTGATAGTACACGCTCCTTTGGACGGAATGACATGTCTGGTCTATTTGACTTTCTTTGTTTGTTTTTCTGAAATGAGAGAAATTTGAAAGGATTTTATTTCACGCGAATGATTGAAGTGTACCGTTTGAAAATGCAAATCAGACAAATGTACTTGAAAACCAAATAGAAAACACTGAAGCAAACAAAAAATCTGGAATTTGGCATTTTAGCAAAGGCCAGGGAAACTTCAACTTGAATATCAAGCGCATTTCACGTTGGCACGGTGCCCATGTCGTGTAAATCTCTACATTGGACAAAGTGGCAACCTCGTCAAGAACGCCAAACCAAAAACTGAATACAAACAGCGATTACATACGAAAAATATTATCATAATTTCATTGGATTTGATTTACACCAAAGCTCATTCCGACCAATAACTCAACTTGCACAGATGGATTTTATCACGCAATTACATTCACATGAATACACTCAACATAGTTTATGAATGACATTTGTTTTTCTTCTTCTTCTGTAATAAAATTATGTATCAAAGCTTATTCTCCCGACGCCAAGTTGGTTTTAATGACATAACACAAAATTTGCACCGGCTGCGTTGGGCAACACATGTGGTTCGTTACATTGCAATGACTGCGAATCGTCTTCATAACCGCCGGAGACTGTGCACAGCGGTGATATAATGAAGAGAAAAAAAAACGACTAATGGAAAACTACGCTTTCACTTGAGCACGCATCAAAGCCAACAGCATTTTCCGGCAGAAAAAGATCAACAATTTAGTTTATTACATTGCAATCGACAGCATTTTGCAATCTGGAGTTGGATTTTTCTCTCTAGTTACTTTCCATCTACACTTGTATATGCACTTATTGGTCTGAAAATCCCTTTTTGGGATCTGAAAACGGGATTTACTTCATTATTTTAGTCAAACTGTATTGAGATATGATGGAGGAAAAAATTGTGAAAAATAATGAAGAAATGGAAGAAAGGCAACGAACAACTGCCGAACGAAACATGAAACTCAAATACTTGGAGAAAATTACATTGGGATTATGACAATCGCCTTAGACGTCACTACAGCACACGCTTCAATCAAAACATTCACTTGCACCCGCATTATTCGCAATTTTTCACAATAAAAACTTTACAGAGAAAAATCAAGTTGATATTACACTCAATAAAGTATCCGCCATTTGAACAGACGGAAGTGAAAAATTGTGGAGGTGTTTGGTAAATACGCAACCTTGTTCAGCATTTTCAACTTTTCCTATTTGAACGGAATAAAAAAATTGTGTTTTCCATCATATCTCGAACATTTGTCACATTCATTTACTTTGTCACTTAGCAAAATTCAATCATTGTAGAAAGTTTGTTCAACGAACATCGGGATTCATGGAATGTTGAATGAACATTTCCAGCAAACACAATGGAAAGCAACCCGGAGATTTTTCTTCATTTTCAATTAATACCATTCATCATTGTCCTTCATCATTTGTTCAAATAAAAATCACCATGTTTTATCGTTATTGCCAATTAAAATCAACTTAAAATTGAAAAAGTGACCCTTATACTTGATTCCAATGGCAAATTCAATGAAAATAGAAGACAACGATGGGACGAGAAGTCGGTTTTCAAACTAAATTGCGTTCGAGTTGAAACTACGCAGGAAATCATAGTTGGCACGGTTGCCGGGACTCTGATATCGGAAAACCATTAATTCAAGTAGCACTTGACCTTCCCTTGAGCCTCTCTATCGGATGTCAGATGCAATAACACACGTTCTAACTAATCCACAATTATTTGTCCGAATAAACAATGTTTGAAAACGACGAAAAAAGCACGATAGCGAAAAATCAGTCTCATGTCTAGCTCGTTCAATTGTTTTAAATTCGATGACAACGTTTGAAATTGAATCAATTTTGTGTTAGATTTTTCTTTCAATTGAAACTTTTCTTTAACATTTAAACAAATTTACAAGAACTTCTGTTGAAAAGAAGAGAGAAATTGAGTGAAAAATTAAACGGAAATGAAGAAAGGATAAAAAATAAAATTAAATTAAATTACAGAAAATTGGCTACAGTGTTAACACGCCCTTGTTATCACACCCACAGTGCGGAGGTAATGTCAAGTTGCGTTTCCACTTAAAATTATACTGATCAATTGTCTATTTTTAAACGACCACAAACGCAATAGAAATGTAGACTGATATATACAAATTAATCAGTCATAACGTGCGATTGCACTTTTGTTAACCTTTCGTTGGTGCAATTATGGCTGCGCTATGTTCTGGTGCATATGATTGCATTGGTCAATTTCAAACTTGAGTCAATTGTGACGGAATGAATGTGCTTCGTGCACGACAAAATGTAATTTGATGAAATGCATTGCATTCGATGGAAAACGTTATGAGTACATTTAAATGATTGATTTGGCGAGCTGTTAAGTAATTGTTATCAATTGTTAGTTGGATGAATGCATCACTCTTCATATCGTGTGTGAATATGATTCATTTTCGCTTGATGGTATTCCATTTGTGGATGGAGCACAACAAAGACATAAAAACGAGTGGAAATGTAATAAAATCCATTTGTACGGAACTTGGATATGGATGAGTTTTCTTTTGGTAGGTGACGAACACGATTCGAGTGCGAACACGGGAAAGAAAAGCCAACGTCAATATGAACGTCAGTAACATATGAATGGACAGGGAATTACGTCATTCTCTCATACTCCTGCTCTTGATTCGCACATCAAATTTCCATAAACGTATTTTTCTTCGATTCAACCATGCTCAACCATATGGGAAAAGCTTTCTAACGCTGTAATAAATGCAATCTTTATCTTTTTGCACAACGTCATGATGACGATTTTTCACACTTTTTTTCCCTACGGAATTATTCCACACACTTAGTGTGTGTGTGTGTTTGTTTGCCCGTTTCAAGTAGTGTTGTCAAGATTGAGATGAGATATTGAGTTGCGAAATAAAAACACTTGAATGACACAAATGATGTCGCGAATGCAATTGAACTGATTGAAATTCACTTACCAAAGCAGAAATTCACGAAATGCACACAAAACGAGCTGAGCTGCTTGTTTGTCTGGAATTATTTTGCACGGATGATGTAGACAAGTGTTGCAACAAAATCGATGTGTTCGAATAAGCGACCATTTTTGTACTGATGCTTTGAATGGAAAAAAAATCTATTTTCATCTCGTGTGCAAGCAATGTAAGGGGGATGTTGAAAGCCGTCACTTGTTAGGCAGTAGCTCTAGTGCGCAGACGCCGTTTGACCTTCTGCTCTATTGTTTTGGTTTGCTTTTCATTCATAAAACTTCGGGCGAAGGTAATAAACACGGAATACATTGAAGCTATTGGCGCAAACACCGTAATTTGTCAACAAAATCAAATTGCACAAGGATTCCGACCTCAGCACGGATTAGCAACCGTTGATAAAGTAGAAAATTATTCTAGGCACTCTCAAAAGAATGAACTCAATTTAATTAATTGCGTGGCATCATTCACACCAAAGTTCTTATTAAAATGTATTTATTCAGTCGTTTAAACTACCACCGATGCATTTTATTTGAGACGATTTTACTTTTTTTCTCATTATTTTAACTCATTTAGCTACTCTAGATCACACGAATATTATGCAGAATTTGAGAACAAATTTGAAAAATGAAATATTTGTCAAGCTTTACACTTAATTCGATAAAAGAAGAATTTTCTTAGGAATTTTCATTCAACTGGCTCGAACAATTTCTTTTCAAAACGGATCAAATAATTTCTAATTAAATTTTTGCCACAAGAATGAAATTAGTTTTTCATCTAGATTCATTTGCACGTGTCCGTATTCGTATCAAAAATCGAAATTGTCTTTTCAGCAAACCCATTTCATAGTCATCCGAGGCACGTCAGAAAACTTTCAAGTAATTGTAACGATTCAAACTAATTTCCGATTAATTGAGATTCTGATTAAATGCAATTACAATTTCCAATTAACAGAAATAGAAAAAAGTCATTATTGGAATCATTTTGATCATTACATTCGAAACTTGTTCAAAGCTCAATAGAAAAAATGAATTAAAAATTCATGTAGCGCTCCAATTATTTCATCAGAATCTCTTCACTGCACTATTTGTTTGAAAAAAAATTCCAGCACCAAATCTATTTATAACACTTGCAGCAACGATGTGATTTAGTCGGGAATCCAGTGTGGAATAACTAGCGATTTGATTTCAGTGCAATAAAGCCGTTCAGAGTGTGAGATGCAAATGGAAACAAATGTACATGTAAAGTGCTTTATTGGCAGTTTGTTTCCGTTCGTTTTGTACTTTAATCATTGGTCGACACATTAAACTAAGGGGGAAAGAATTGAATAAATGAAAATATAAATATTGTAAATAATCGCATATTCTACCGAATTTGGATCAATACGTATCAATGCGTGTCAATGCACTGAATTACTAGCCACGAATGCATGCAGTTACGGTCAATGAAATGTGCGTATTTGCTACTGTCATTCGTGCTCGCCACGAACGAGACGGAGCAACAGACGAAAACAACAACAATAACACAACGAAACGCAGTGCAAATGCCTGCGAATATTTGTTAATAGAGCAAATATACCAATAGTTCTTTCCCCCTAGCATTAAACGAGCGAACGTTATGCTTGCTTTTCACATTGTTGCTGAAATCAAAAGTAGACAAAAACGATGATTATTACTTTGAAATACGAATATAAATGCATGGACATGTAAACTTAGCAACTTTTTTGTTCATAATTATCAACCGAGCCAAACTGATTTCGATTTATAAAACCCGATTCAAAATTTGCATTTGTAGAAATGAGTCGAGTGACAATGATGAATTACATCGCTTGAATTGGAGCGATGTGTGTGTGTGCAAATTAACACTCGACTGAAAAAACACCGTTTGCTGAACAAGCACTTACCGTGTGATCGTTATGCACACAAATTAAAATCGGTATTTTCATTTTTCTTTCGTATTGCTTTTGATTCTGACTTTTGGCCTTTGCATTTTTTTCCCCTGTTTTTTCCGCTTATCTAAACACAATCTCATCCAATGAAAACACCAATTTTCCCTTCTTCTTCTTCTTTATATCGTCATTTATTTCACATATTTTTCGTTTCAAATTATTTCTACTGTAAAAATAAGCTTGTCTCTCTTACAATGTTCTTTTTCTGGCATCGAAAAAAGAAAATTATTACATAAACTCAATGTATTCATACAATTTACATATAAATTGGCCGAAATCTAAACACCTAAACAAAAAATGTGTCAATTAATTCAAATTAAAGGTGATTCTCGCCAAAATCAAGTTCATCGTCTGACGGCAATTCATCCAGTAGATCGATATCTTTTGTCTCCGGACACTGTGAACATCGACTCTCTTTGATGCCATAATTGATGCAGGTCGATCCGACACATTCACAACAGCCATCGTAGAACCATCTGAAAGGCAAAATAGTATTTGATTCCATTCGTTTTATTTATTGCTTGCTCAATTTAAGAGTTGTTTCCGCCTCAATAGAGGATTTGGTTTGAATCTTACCGATAGCTGGTTGCACCCATGCTCTCACAGTTTTGTTTGCACTTGTTCGATGATAAACACTGTGACATGTAAACCACCGTGCAGTTATGTGTTACAATCTCCTCTCTGCTCTTAAGCGATGTGTCCAGAGTGGAATCTGCAGATTCTGTAAACGAAAGTACAAAACATTGAATATTCGTTTAATGTCAATGGGTGCGTGTTGGCGCAAACATTGATTTTCAGTCAACTTACGCAGAATATATTTGAATGGCTTTTCTCCTTTTGGGCTCACCAAAACCGTTTGAAAATCAACTGGAAATGTGAATGTTGTCCATTTATCTTCGTCCTCGTCCGATTCTTCGGTGAGTGCCTTGAATAGTCCTGGAATCCCTTCCAAATCTTCAATGTGCGACTGACGCGATACATTTCGTGTTTCCGTTGGTTTTGGACACATTTCTGAAATCGGAATAGAAAAGATTAATCCATGAGTGAAATTTCTGTTTTTTAAAAGATTTGAAACAAGACATCTTGCTGAAGAGGAAAAAACACTCGGTTAAATAATGACTCAACATATGATGAATTGACTAAATTCTACAGCTACTCATATCATTTTATATCAAATCAATTCACTCTCTTCTAGAGAGTCTCTAGTTGAGTGTCTCAACTTACCCAAGCAACTGCAGCACTCCAATTGTAAATGGCCCAAGCACTTGAAACATTCCGTGCAACAGGAGTAGTTCTTGCTATCACATTTACAGCTCTGTGTCAGCATGCATTTGGATACGATGGATGCGCATACTTGTTCGTTGCACGAATAAGATAACTGCACGGAAATGATGAGCAGCAGCGCGGTTAATGCCGACAAACCAAATATCCTATTGTAATTCGTAGCCATTATTTTGCTGTGGAAAGAAGAAATTTGCAATTAGAATTCCGTTTACAAAGCAAATGATTTTGCCTTTTTTGTATGATGGTTTTTACTGTGAAGATTGAACAATTTGTTGAGGCAAAACGATTCAAAGTGGATATAATTGTGGTGATCTCTTCGAAATCGACTTAAGAATGTGGAGAAAAATCGAAATATAAACATCAAATGCATATTCCACACATATTTCTATCCAAATTGACCCATCATCATATTTCCATTTCAACAGTATTGTAATAGTTTTCCATCATATTCAATAGACAAAATTGAGAAAAAAGAAACGTATTCAATTTTAAATGATTTCACTTTTCGAAATTGCTTCAACTTTAATACGGAATACATTGGATCTCTTTCCGTGAAGGAAATTTTCAAAGTGGAGTTCACGACACGAAGCAATTAGAAGCCATATATTCATTGGAAGTGAATGTTGAATTGAATCGTAAAAGACGCAGTCGTTACAGACATAAACAATTCTGATCAATTAACAAGTCAAAGTCGTTCTCCACGCTTATGAGTTAATTAAAGCAGTGAGCGTAGCGTTGTTCAGCACGAGATCTATGTACAAATTGTGTGTGTCACTTGATTCTTGTTCTGCTCTCTTTGGATTAGGTTTTAATCTCTATGAATCAAAGACTGCTCAGTTGAGCTTGTGTCGAGTTGTATCGATGATAAATTGATGATTTTCGAATGGATTTCTCAATATCCAGTCCAGAATAATCAGGAAAAAACGGTATCTTCTAAGGACGAATGATTCATCGAATTTGATGTAACTCGACATGAATCTGAAAATCCCTTGATAAGTTTATGAACGAAAAAAAAGAAAGGAAAGAAACCAATCTATGAAAGAAATAGAAAACTAAGCGCCACACTCAGACGATTACACGCACTAAATGCTGGCTGTTTGTGTGTGAGAGAGAGAGAGAGAGAGAGAGAGAGAGATTGACAAAACAAAAAGACCAATAAAAAGAAGCAAGCACACAAACAGAGAGAAAGATTCATTCGGAACATTCCATTGAAGAAAAAAAAACGCATAAAAACCAACAACAATCGTAATCGATGTATCCTCAAATGAGATCGATGCAGCGCGCACTAAACAAACACAAACGGTCAACTGAATGGAGGTGAAAGAGAAAGAGATAATTCGTGTGTTGCATGTGTGTGGCATTCTCTTTTCTTTCGTTCTTTCCGCCTTTTTTTTCACGTACATGTTCTGTTTTATTTCCTTCCCGTTTTTCTTACAAATACCTTTTCGTTCTTGATTCGGTCTATCGTTTTTTTTGTTTCGTTCTTCAATGGCTTGCACTCGAAACGAAATATTTCCTTAGATGCTTATCGATCTTTTACTAGGAATCCACAAATTGACTTAGCACACAGACACTGTGTAAAAATCGTCTTGCACTTTACTTTAACTTGCTGGAAAATTGTTTCGTGTATGCGCGTCTGGTTTATGTCTTCTTCACCAAATCCATCAATTGGATTTATGTAAAAAACAAATAAAGAATGCTCACTTTTTATTTCACTTGTTGACAAGTTATCATGAAAATAACACACAACACCAGCGCGAATGGCTGGAACAAATATGTCTTTAGTTTTTTTTTTTGACAAGATCACCTCTCCTACGACGTGAATTGACAATGAGAGAGCGAGAGCCAATGCGAAAGAGATAAATCGAATATTTTAATATGAAATTACAATAACAACAACAATAAAAACACACACGAAACGAGAAAAAAATCAATCGCACAAACAGCAGCACGTTTGATGCTGTGTCGCTTACGCTTAGCTTATTGAGTCATACTGAATATATATCTTGGACGAACGACGAGAGAGTTAAGGTTTTTTCTCTGTACCTGATCTTGTTTTACACGGACACAACACATCGACCACTCGATACGCATACATGTTCAAATGCTGTGTTTGCACTAATCACAGATCAACACAGAGAGCATAAGCCGAGCTGTACATCGATATGTGAGGGACTACCATTCGGTTTCTGTTGGTAGACACTACCATAGGCACATGATTTATTTTTTAGGATTGAATTCTCTTGCTTTGTTGTGTGCGTGTGTGCGCTCGTTCACTCACTGGAATTTCGATAGTCTCAATGATGTTGTGAACGCTCCATTCTATGTGCCGCACAATTTGTCACAAATATGCGAAGCATTTTCTTCTTATTCACAATGATTGGCTTTATGACAAACCGTTTTTGCATGTTTTTTTTTCTGAACATCTTTGATTTTCGTACCATTCTTTTGGTTTCTTCTTCCGTATGTTTGCGATTTTAACACAGTCTTCAATGGAATATTCAATGAATTTTATCAATTGTTTTGAAATGTGCACCAAGTTTCAAAACAAAATTTTCTTTTCTCCAAATTTAAGACAATTTACCTTATTTCCATTCAAATAAACGGAATCATCCAAAAATTTAGTCTATGAAACAAATTATTGTTTCAACTACGAAATGAAAATTCATCTTTTTTTTTTACAAATTATCAAATTAAATGAAGACTTTAATAACAGAAAAGTGACAAAAACTATGTAATAAGTAGGTTTGTTTTGATTTGAATGTATAATCGTTTGTTTCATTCATTAAAATACATACATCTCACGACCTTTCTTTTTTATACCAAAGCATTTGCTGAACAGCACTTTGTTGTTGTCGTTAATTTTGTTCATTTTATTGTTTCTTTAGTGAATAAGTTTAAACAATATGGAAAAAGAGCAAAAAAAAAATAATAATTACATTTATCATAATCGTAATCAATTCAAATCAAATAATGTGATACGTCCGCTGCAACAGAAATCAGCTGACAGCCTGGACCGACGCACATTCATTAACCCTCTTGACCAAAATCGTCTGTGAATTTCTGGAGCTTCTTCAAATCTTCATCATTTACGGTTGGTTTAGTACGTGACAACGACTTCATCATGTCGCTCTGGAATATGAAGAAATTGTGTGTTAATTCGATTCATTGCACTGAGCTTAAAAATAAGAAACTATGAGGATAAACTTACCATTGTCACAGGCGGTTCGAAGAGTTTATCTCCAGGCACATCCATCCAAGTCATTTCAAATGCCCCTGGGTCACCAGGCGAACATGGCGTGACTAAATCATCGACAATCCGTGTTTTATCTAGAGGCGAAGGACCACGTACGGTCTGAAAATGAGTAAATAAGTCGATTAGAAACATAGCTAAGGAATTTAAAGATTTTTTTTTATTGTAGACGGTTGTAATCATCTCAACCTCTTAACAAGAGTTAGAAACATCTTTGAATCTCTCAAACAAATTATTCTTTCAAAATTTCGGACACAATAATCTGGGTGTCACATTCATGTGTGTAAGTGTGTAGAAGTCTCACCTTGAAATGTGTTGCAGTTTGTACTTTTCGCACCGGTTGCATGAGAGCATCTCGTACTACGATCGAAATATCTGCTCCTGAGTAGCCGTCGGTATTTTTTGCTAATTCTTTCAAATCGTCTTCGGAGAGTACATGCGATGTGTTGCCCAAGTGAATTTTGAACATAACCAAACGAGCGTGCTCTTCTGGCAGTGGAATGAAGATTCGCTTTTCGAAACGTCGTCGAATAGCTGAATCTAAGACCCATGGAATATTCGTGGCACCAAGTACCAAAATACCATCCATATCATTGCCAACACCTTGCATTTGAACAAGAAACTCGGTCTTGATACGACGTGCACTCTCACTTTCGTTGTCCGAACGCGATGAACATAACGAATCGACTTCATCGATGAAAATGATGCTGGGCTTATGTTGTCGAGCCAATTCAAACAAGTTTCTCACCAATTTTTCCGATTCACCCAGCCATTTCGACACCAAATCCGAACTGGACACAGAGAAGAAGGTCGAATTATTTGCTTCAGTTGCGACGGCCTTGGCGAGGTATGATTTACCCGTACCGGGTGGCTGTGGAAAGAGAACAAAAAATGGTTGAGTTTGAAAAATGACCATAAATGGAAAATTTTATCATGTTATGAAATTACTGTTACAGTAAATCATAAGACAATTGATCCATTCTCAGAAAAAAATGGTAAAAACTTACGCCAAACAACAAAATTCCCTTCCATGGAATTCGTTTGCCCGTGAATAGATGCGGGAATTTGATCGGCAGAATGACGGCTTCTTTGAGTGCTTCTTTGGCTCCTTCTAAACCGGCCACGTCCGACCATTTGACATTTGGTTTTTCAATGACAATAGCGCCCTCCAATTTGTTCTGCATTTTTTTCTTCTCCGGATCATCCGAATCCGATTCCTCGTCACTTTTCTTTTCGCCATCTTTGGAAGAACTTTCTCCATCTTTAATTGGCTTCTTTTTGCCCTTGGCCAAATATTCCTTCAACTTTTCCGCTCGATCCAAGTATTGCAAACATTTCGCACGGATTGAATCTTTTGCTTTGTCACCCTGCGCTTCATCTACAGAAAAAAACCAAAACAAAACAAACACGTCAAATACAACACAAAGATATTGCCCGTTCGTTTCGAAACAAAGTAATGCGTCATTTCAAGTAAATCCTCTGTGTGCACTCGTTCACTTACATTTAATTGCATGTAAAAAATACTCCACACCATGCTCATATAATCTTAATGCTTCTGCATAATTTTTGTTTTTATCCTCTTCGGTTGCTTTCGTTACTAAATCGATGGCTTTTTGGAGCGTACTTGAATTCGCCATGGTGTCTCTGTTTGACGTTTATCTGAAGGAACAAAAATACGAAATTAAAGAAAAAATTATTCGTTTTTTATCAAAACCAAAGCTAAATTTCTATGCAAAATCACAAAATGTAAATTATAATGTGGACATTTTTATCGGTATGTGCAATTGATGACGACATTCAAAACAACACTGAAATCCAAGGTTATTTTTTCACTGAATTAAACACAAATGCAGCTTTGAAATTGCATTTAAAATACAAATTCGCGTGAATGCATTGGAAATTTAATAGAAGATTTACCAGAAATGTCTAAATAAAAGGGTTACAAGTCAAACAAAAACGATGGAATCCAAATTCAGGCAGATCGATACGATATGTTGAAAATGTATCGTTCTGTAGTTTAATTAGTAGAATGACGTGATCTTTTGTGTATATATGCATCATACACTGGCAGTAGATGTGACACAAGGAAACGACAACAACAACAACAATTTCACCCTGACTGCCAAAACCCAGAAAAAAAACGTAATACGATAAATATGACTCATAAGTCACGGAATTTTCAATACGATCCAATGATTACTTACACCAATCACAATTTACAAGAAAAAACACATCTACAGATTGGGCTAGACTGATTGTGTCGTTAGAACCGAACGGAAACGTTAATGGGAAAATTCTTCAGAAATACTATTTTGGTTTCATTTACACTGGTCGCTGTACGATTTCAGTTTCTTTGTGTCAAACGTGATATTGAATTGATGTAGGTTCACATATTCAACACATATTTGGTTTTCGGTTGGTATCGGTGGTCACACTGTTTGTCAGTGCTCGCAAGTGACAGCTCAAACAACAAGCTGCATTGAAATTGCAATTTTCATCGGATCTTAAATCGGATTTGAAACATTTTCGCATTTTTTTCTCTCAATAAAATCAAATAAAAATTGAAAAGATAATACCACACCTACCTTTCAAATAGCCATGCCATAGAGTAGAACTGTGGATAATATTTGCGACAAATCGGATTTCAAAGTCAAAACAAAAAAAAAACGGGATATGAGTACATTTTATTTTTATTGTTCACATTTCTCAAAATCAACATAAGGTATATCTGATAGAATGTACTTTTTAATTTTATAGATTTTCATAAATGATTTTAATTTCGATGTTTTTTCACAAATTTGCGAAATTTTCGTTGTGAAAACTTCCATTGCGGATAAATCTTTGAATAAATTATTGGGTCCTCTCCTTCTTGGAAGACTAAACATTACAGAAACCTTATTGAACCACTTTTGGGCTGCTAAAAATTTCAGTAGCTTCAACGTGTTGCTTCGAAATGAATAGAATGTAAAACCGTTTAATTGTAACGAAATAAATTTCGTTTTTTGTCTAACTATGTTCAGTTTTCGGCGTATTTGTTCAAACATCTCTTCATACATAAACCAAATACCTATAATACCAATTTCAAGTCGTTCTATTGTTGGATGTTCTAATACGAAATCCAACCAAATTTCCGGTTCATCAGACCAGCACTTTACGGTCAATGTCTTTAGTTGCTTGAAAGAAAACACATCGATAGGACTCACTGCACTTAAACCATAATAGCTTGTCACATCTAATATTTCAATATTATTGAATAAAATGGGTGATCCTATGAAGCAA